TCTAGAAGGAAGAGCGAAAGGACAGAAAAGGAAAGGAATGTCCAAAGAAGAAGGACAAGAGAATCTGTGTTTTAAAGTCAAACTTGAAGTACCGCTATTTGGTTTTCTTGCGCTTGGAAGTTTCGTGAAGCTGAGGTTACTACTTGCCGAGGCGGCACAGTGTGGGTGACTAGTTGAAAGATCTTGGTTCCAAGGCTGTTTGGAAGCTTGGAGACATCATATCCAGGCAACATGCCACACGAAGTATTTAGGCTTTGGGGGAAGCTGGACGTGACTTGTAGAGATGTAAGAAAACCCAATAGCAATGGCCTCCAACCTAAGAGCCATGGCCTCCAAACTAATAGCGATCTCCAACCTACAGTACTAGCAATGTCCGCCAAAACAACAGCGATGGTCTCAAACCTACTAGCAAATGGCCTCAAACCTACTAGCAATGGCCGGAAAAATCAACAAGAGCCCTCCGTTGGTGGATATCGCTTTCGCTGCCCTAGGTCTTTGATGGGCCCTGGAGGCAAAGAGTGGGACCTAAGTGCAGCGGCGCCCAGAAAAGAGCCACTGATTTGATTGGATAGAATCAACACTTAGAGTATGTGGCTGAGAACTAAACCGAGCCATTGGTCATTAGGTTGGAGGCCATTACTATTAGGTTGGAGGCCATCGCTATTAGGTTGGAGGCCATTGCTAGTAGGGTGAAGCCATCGCTACAGTAGGTTGGAGGCCATTGCTACTAGGTTGGAGGCCATGTAGGTTAGCGGCCATCGCTAGTAGGTTGGAGGCCGTCACTATTAGGTTGGAGGCCATCGCTAGTAGGCTGGAGGCCATTGCTATTAGGTTGGAGGCCATCGCTATCAGGTTGGAGGTCATCGCTAGTAGGTTGGAGGCCATCGCTTTTAGGTTGGTCGCCACCGCCATTAGGTTGGGCAGCATCGCCATTAGGTACATCGCTCGTAAGTTGGAGGACATCGATCTTTGGTTGGAGGACTTCGCTCTTTGGTTGGTTGGAGGCTTTGAGGGAGATTTCGTTTAGACATCGTTTCGACGTCAAGGTGGAGCGTCGCCTTGCTGCAGCTCTGAAGTGCTGCCAGGGGGAGTGAGGGGACCTGGATGACAAAACAAAGCAAAGCTAAGTTTTTTCACTGTAATTAAGCAGGGGCTTCGCATTCCTAAAGCTGCCTAGTTGTAAAAAGCAGGTGGAAAGATACTTCATGACCTCAGGCCTCTTTGCCCCCAAAGCAAATGGTAAACCGAGGCTTAAAGCTCGAGGATGCAAGACCAGCGTTCTCTGGTTTCCAATTTCTGAGGTGGCCTTTCCTGAACTTTACAAGGCACACACGAGAGGTTTAGCATTTTCACGAGAGGGCAGCTCTCCAGTCGTAGGGTGCCATGCTTCAAAGAGCTTTCTATTTGCTTTTCAAGCCTTTAGGCTTTGAGTTCTTTTGTGTTTTGAAAGAAGCGGGCTTTCTTTCTCTCCTTTCGAAGGCCAGAATACTATGCTGCCCTGGAGGATGAGCTCCGAAGCTCCGATGAGACAGAGCGCCCCTTGAATTGTTGTAAAATGTCTGTTCTGTTTCCACTTTCTTGGCTCTGCCTTTTGCATTGTTTTAACTTTTGTCACACCTTTTCTTCTGTCCCTGTCCTGTTGGCCTTTTTTTGCATTTTTTTGCCAGAGGCTTGTTGATCGCTTTCTTTTGAGGTTGGCTTCGGGAGCTCTTTGGGCACCGCCGACGACGAAGGGAGCGAGGCGAGGGAGAGTGGAACGTACCCGTGTCCGAACGGCCAGAGGAGTTATATTGTTTCCTATTGTTTCTACTAGCTTCTTGTTACTAGTAAGGCACTTGTTACTAGTAGGGATGCACTTGTTACTAGTAGCTTATTCACTTAATTAATTGTTTCCTATTGTTTTCTGGGCAGCCTGCAATTTTGCTCCCCGGATTTTCTCGCCGATTGGAGGCTATCCCTCAGACAACCGGGTAGCCACCGAGACTATCCTCCAGAACATCCCAGAGGCAGGGCAACTGGACCTTGGCACGTTACGCTCACACATTCTGCTGGCATATAGATTCCTTATTGGCAAGGACGCTACTAGGGCATAGGACGCTACTAGGAGCATTGTTCTGGATTGCAGATCCCTTGGTGACCTTTGAGTGTAGAGGAAGGCCGTGCCATGACGATTCGAGAGCTTGGCGGCAACCTCAGGACACTTTGGCCCAAGGGAGTGAAGGATCCGTTGAGACCCCTTCGACAAATGCCTTGTCGTGAGGGAAGATTTGCCAGCCCAGAACCTTTCTCAACACTTCCAGTTGATTTTTTGGCTTTTCAGTTGTCTTCGAACAAGTGAGCCATGTCCTCCAACCTGATAGCGATGGCCTCCAACCTGCTAGCAATGTCCTCCAACCCAATGGCGATGGCCTCCAACCTACTAGCAAAGGCCTCGAACCTAGAAGCGATGGCGTCCAACCTAATAGTGATGGCCTCCAACCCAATAGCAATGGCCTGCAACCCAATAGCGATGGCCTCCAACCTACTAGCCATGGCCTGCAACCTAATAGCAATGGCCTGAAACCTGATAGCGATGGCCTCCAACCCAATAGCGATGGCCTCCAACCTACTAGCAATGGCCTGCAACCTAATAGCAATGGCCTCAAACCTACTAGCAATGGCCTGAAACCTAATAGC